CAGATTACACAGCTGTCCACCACTATAGTTTGATTTCCATGCATGACATCTACCTATGGGAAAAGTCTTGATACACTGGAAAAGACCAAGATAGGGTTTCTACATATATTTAGCAAACAAATGAAGTTATTTTCAACAGTCTTAGGTTTTCTTAGGCAATATTAGAACTGCCTGCACACTTCTGGTTGGTGCAAGAATGAAAGAAAACCCAAATCACCATTGCTCATTTTGTTCCGAGACAGCCACCACAAAGCTGCACCTACCACTCTACAGAGAGAGTTCACCTTCAATGCCATGCTGTGCCTACCCAAACTGTAGCAGTCACCCACTTTCACTGCATAAAATGGTGCTTTATTTGCAAAGATTTAAATAAAGCTGTCTTTGTTCATGAAAGATCTCTATTCTTTTCAGGAAAAGGCATGATCTCATCATTCTGATATAATTGTCCCATTAATTGTGTGAAAGAAACTTTGCATTGCCACAGCTGAGACAGATCACCCAGAAGGTGAATCTGAGAGTCTAGAGGGATGTTTACAATTTACCTCATCAACAGGAAGAAGAATATGTGTCATTTAGCTATTCCCTACAAGTAACAAAGCAAGCAAAATCAGCACGGGGCTATGCTGACATCAAGATGCCATTCAAAGGGTATCCAGCCCCAACAGTGTCTCAGCCTCATAATAAGCCTTTTACGATCAGTTGCCTGAAAAATTCCATCTCAGAAAGGGATTAAAGATGTCTTTAAGCCAGGAACATTGAGCTGCACCTTCAAGGACACCTGCTTATTTTAATGACTAGCGATGGCATTTTCTGCTGCATGGTCTTGAAGTTCTGCAACAGACATACTACATGTAGCTTTTTGGTCAGTTGCAGGTTTTTCATAAAAATTGTTTAGATTTGTAAGTCCCAAGAAAGCAAATTTCAGAAAAAATATGGTATTATTATAGTTGATTTTTTTTTTAAGAAAAAAAAACAACATTGTGGCCATACTATTTATATTGATCTGTTGTAACAGATATTACCATTCTTAATACAGTGTCTGAGCTAGTGACTTTCTTCCAAGTCAATCTTCCTTCCACAGTTCTAGTCAAAGTGAATAAAAGATGATCAGATACAACAGTTGTATGAAAGAAAAATCCTGTCTTTCAATGCATCCCAGTAAGTAGATTGTTTCAGCAGCTTACTCTTGAACTGACATGAGTACTCCAGTCATTTCTAAAACAAACATCACAAGACCTAGCTACAATAGAAATGTGTTACCCTTCAGTGCTTTGAGAGTTTCAATTTATCCAGACTGACAATCTACAGAAGCTTGATGCTGGAATAGCAGGAATGTTGCGTGTGCAAGGATGCTGCATTAAGGGATAAATGTGTTCTGTAAGTCCCACTAAGAAGCCTAAAGTCCTTAAGATTCTACACTGTTCTTGGTGTTTAAAGCCAGAGACTGAGGGATGTGGAGTGACAAGATCAGGCCCATACCCTCATCACTACAGAAGGCAAGACCATGTAAAACACTATTTCCACCACAGGTCCCTCTACTTTTTTCAGCTGGATGTAGTGGTACACATCAACACTATACCAGAACAAGTGAACAGACTTCTCACCTTTCTTCCAGTTCACACTCTTGTAGCCTTAGGATTGCACTCCTACCCTTCTACCACCACAACTTCCACTTGATTTTTAATCTAAAAGCCTGGCTTTGCCTTTTTTTGTTTCAGGGATTCTGTCTGACACACCTGACTCTACAGGCACGGCTGTGTATCTGCTTTTCCTGGATTGACTTCTTGGACTTTGGGACAGAGTACAAATGTATCTTCAAACAGGAAGATCCATTTGAGGGACCATGTACTAGTCTGATCTGCTAGATCTTAAGCCTGTATTAACACAGAAAATAGGCTTCATCCTATCTCTGGATAATCAAGTAGGGCAAATTCTTGGCAACAGGGAACCAAAATTTGCCTCCTTTAGACATCAATATTTATGATGTTTCATATCCTGAGATGCACACATTATCTGGGCTAAGCACAGTGGAGCTCTTCCTCTGTAGAGAGGAAGTACTGCTTCCCATGCTAGTAAGTCCTCAACTCGAACATCTTGAAGAACAAATGCTTTAGCACACAGCCTGCCTTGCCTTTGTTGTTCTAGGTGGGGCATGTGACTTATTTCTGTACTGCCTATAGATATGTTGAAAACTGCTGCTCATAAATAGCTAATCTCACCACAGGCTGCTTCCCACCCTCTGTTTAAGAAGCAGGATACCACCTTTTTCACAGACCTTGCCAAGTGATAGCAAGCTTTTTTCTTAAATATTTGTTTTCACATGCACGTGTGACAAAAAGAGTATTTTGTCCAGGTCAAAAAGGGACCAACCTCTGGTCAGCAAGTATTGGTGGCGCAGAGGCACACCCCTTCATTCCTGGACCCTCTGATACAAGTCTTTCACATGACAAGAATCTGCCTAAGCAAGCAGTGTGGGCTTTACTCATCAAAATTATAAATAGGAAGCCCACTGCTCCCCAAAGGAATTGTCAGGCAACTCCCACATCACCAAATTAACAAAAAAACATCTTAGGACAAGCTTCATGTTATCACTTCATCATGTATAAACTGGATTACCAAGGAAGCACGTTTAAGAACTGCAGTGCACTCCAAGGCATTAACAGATCACACAGCCTCTGCTGTTGAGTTTGGGGATGGGAGCATCTGGGTTTCAACCCAATCTCGCAAATTTCAGAAAAAAATGGTACCTCTAGGTGGTCTGGTATTCAGTCAAGCTGACAAAGGCATCCTCATTCTTAGCACCACTGTTCCAAGCTGGCCTGCTCTCCACTCCAGCATGTCCTTCTGACCCAAAAAGGCTACATACTGACACTGCTTTAAGTCACATGCCTATAGGAAGGAGCAGATCAGCAGCAGGGGTGGCTCCTGGCTGTGGAAATGCCAAAAGCAGCTTTCCAAGATGAATGACATCCCCAAGACCCCTGCCCCTGCAGCAGATACATTGCTTCTGCCCAAGTTTTGGAATAACTAGTGTGTCCTAAAAAACTCCTCCAGCTCAGAAGAGGTTACAACCTCCACCCTTCTGCTAGAGATTATCTGCTGGAGGGGCTCTTATTACAAATGTTCCACAATCTGTTGCCTTCAAAGCGAGCTGAGTTAACTAAAAAAAAAAAAAGAAAAAAAGAAAACAAGAAAACTTCTTTCTAACCTAACTCATTTGACAGACAAGTTAGCAAATGACAACACACACAACAAACAGATCTGAGCTGATAATCACAAACTGAAAAGATAGTGACAAGCAGCTAAGGGCAGTTATCTCTTCTGCAAGCATAACAAGATCCAGACAGTAACTTCTGCCCATGACTTCATTAAACGACAATGGTCTTTTAAAAGGCAGCTGACTTTCTACACATTGCTAGAATCAAGAAAAATTATATTAGCAAATTAATCATCTATGCTGCTGAAGCTGTTATCTTCTACTTAATCCACAAACAACACTCTCTCTGCACAGCCAAGTGTTGAAGTATTCAAAGCCTCTTCCCAAAACCTTTGTTTAAACGGCCCTAACAACTTTTTTATTTTCAGCAAGTTAAAATTTTCACCTGTTCGACTCATTCTCTATGGCACCAAACTGTTTCAAACGATTTTTAATATTCCAAATGCAAGCTTCATTTTCAGTACATTAATTTCTATTTCACTCGACTTATATGCTTTTGGAATTACACAAAATAAAATACATCTTTCTACAAAAGACTGGATGAGAATCTCCATGCCATAAGATAAGATCCATGATAACTTCCTTACTGAAGCAGAGCAGAAGTATCTTACCTAGAACCTTTCCAAGAGGGTAACCGCTATACTGTGGCAGCATAGTTGGTTTCATTTCTGGTGATGCTAGTGATTATTATTCTTTTGAGTAATTCTGTATTATTATTATAGCAGTTCTATAAACCAGCCTCAGATCTCTTGAGGGGATTTTTTGTTCATTTGCTTTGGAGTTTGGCGGGGTTTCTTTAAAAACTCTCAAACATCTTTCTTGTTTACAGCAGTACTGAAAACCCTAACAGACCACTTCCTATAAGCCACACAAAGATACCTAGAGCTATGACAGTAGTTCCTCTAAGGACTCCAGGGGTAGCCACAAGGAAGAAAGGTACAGAGAAGCTAAAGAAATTGTGCAAGAAGTATGTGGCATATGGGAGAGACTTTGAAATTACTTCTTAATATCCACCAGCTGCCCAACATGGATTGTTTGAACCCAGGAAAAGGTATACTATGAGGGGGCAGAAAAAGAGTTTTGGAGAAGTACATAACTTGCCTACATTAAATGGTTTATGAAACTAAATGGCAAAAGTAAGCACCAATTGTTGTCCTAGGTATGCAAATGCTTTGAAATCATCCCATGATTTAATTTACTTGATTTCTAAAAATATCAAACCTTTTAAACTACTATTCAGCTACACAATAGGTTGGTAGCCTGTACATCAGCATTCTTTCCAGAGACAGCTTTTAAGCTAATAGTCGTATTTTCATGACTAAAACCAGGTAAGAATCTTTATCTCATGATCTTAGGTTATGTTCACATCCTGTTCACACACATCTTGCTTTCTGTTTCATCACAAGGACAATAGAGCTTAAATACTTTGTACTACCACTTCTGTCTTTTCCTTTAATTCTTTCAGTTCCTTAATTCTTGCAATATTTATTCAGTTTTCAGCTATTGTCAACAACTAAGTGCATCAAAATTTTCCTGTCTTTTTGAATCTATAGAGAGAAAGCTAAGGGGCTTGTGTGAAGTTTAAAAATTTAAAGCTAAAACCATTTAAAGTTAATGCTGTTAGTTCAATTCCTCCATGGCTTTTCATATCAAATATGCTACATTTAGAAGACTTTTCTGAACTGCCAGTACAATCAATTCTAAAAAAAAAAAAAAAATACATTTTTAACTATATTATAGAATTATACTGAATGACAACACATTTATCACTTGGACTTGATCTTAAAGGTCTTTCCCAACCTAGTTGATTCTATGATTCTATATACACTTATACAATCTACATCTGTAAAATTTCTACTTGCTACTGAGATACCACCGAACTATGGGAAATGCCCCTCTGATCCTAATGCACAATGCTACTTTATTCCATAGAAGAAACCATAAAATACACAAAATAAACATTCAAAAGGCATGGTTTTATGACAGATTGTTATAGGTACACATCTGTTTAAATCTTTAGAAAACAAACTTTAATATTTCACCAGATTTGTCTTGTCAGGTCACCTCAAGATTCTGTTATATGAATCTTCCAGCCATAACACTCAGCAAAATAATTTAGAAAGGGAAGCATGTTTGCTCAAGAGAGGCTTAGAACAGAACACAAGGTCCAAATATTCTTGAATTTTGGGAAGTCTACTCCACACTGTTATCTTTATTTACCCTGGAAGAGAGAAAGATCCAAGAGCTGTATCAATATCAAAGTGAAGAGGATATTTTAATACTTTGCCTTTACACCCAGTAATTTGCATAGAGAAAATAAATCAAGAAACCACCTTTATACCAAGCACTACAATGACAACACACCCAAAACCAAACAACAAAACCAAAAAACCCAGCCGCAACCCAATACTAAAAGCTCCTAAACTCTACACAACATACTCTCAGAGTATCAATAGGGTGACACACCCCAATTTACCTGAAAGGAAGAAAATTTTTCCTCCTCTTTTGATCTTACACATGCCAGTGAGTTAAACTACGAGCCTGCATTGCTTTGGCATTCCCTTCCCTCTCCATGGAGGCCCTGGTCTCCAAGTGCTGATAGCATCCACAGGAACAAAAAGAAGTTCTGAGCTGATTTTCACACAATTGCTGAAAACCTGTAAGATAAAGGTGAAGAGCATCTGAACAGATTATTGCAAAAGTAGAAAAAAACATGCAATATGGGGACACAAGATATTTCTTTCTGAATACAGAAACCCCACTTGTCTAGCTATCATCCTTCACTATGAACAAACTTTCAAAGACTGTTTCTCTCTAGTACTCATGAGTCATTTTCTAACATCACGTCTTTGGCGGCTTGAAGCATTTTGAAAGTGGAAAGCAAACAAAATTGCTTTTAATGCACTCATAAGAGGGTACTTCAGGTTTTTTAAAAGCCATTTTTTCTCTATCTTTTAGCTGCTAGGAGGCTTTAAATGGGACCCCTGTAGGTTTTTGTCTGTAAACCATACGAGAGCATAAAAGCTTGGAAAACTTGCAGAAATTCTGAAGCAGGTTCACACAGCTTCATTGAAACTGTGTGTGGTTTTGAAGCTCACCAGGGCTCTACTCACCAGGAACCATTTGAAATGGCCAACTAAAAAAAAAAAAAAAATAGATTTAAAACTCATAAAGGATTATGATGAAAACGTAAGACTTATTCTGTAGGCTTCCAGCTTGAAAGAAAAAACACTATTCTGTAAATAGGCAGGAATGGGTTATCATTCTCTAAAGGTTTTTGCAGATTGTTTCTCTGAAACTCTGAAGCCTGAAAAAGGGATCAGAGTAACCTCTGTAAACACAGCCTAAATTAACCTGCAAAGTGATTTACTTGTATCAAAAGAATCAAACTGATCAACCCATTATACCAACACATGGTGGCTCAACTATCCTAAAATCGCTTGCAGGATAGTGATAATGGAAATGTGTCAAATCTTTCCCTGTCTTTGGAGGTGACCCTTCTCAACCTTTCACTTCAGTATCAATCAGAATAGCCAGCAAGAGAAGAAGGCTTGGAAAACCACCACTGCCACCCATAAATACCATAAGATATGTGAAACCACTTTCATTTATAGGAAGAATCAGTCAAATAACATTTTCTAACACCATTATCTTGTTATCACAAATTTCTCATTCTATAGTGTAAGGTTTACTAGAACTTGTTGCTGCGAAAGAAAATGGAAAAGTATTGTTCTGAATGCTAAGGGAGACATGAATTTATCACAATAGGATCTAATATGGTATTTCTTGTGCATACGGCATTGTCATTGAAACCTGACAGAATTCTGTAGAAAGATTGCCAGGCTGGATTTTTACTTTACATTGAAATTCTAATAAGACACCAAAAAGTTTTGATGTTTTCTTTCTGATGGCAAGCGGTACAACGAACGAACAATGTTTTATTTAAATTTGTTGTGGGACTGATTTTGTCACTAGCAGTTGCTTTTAGCTTTTATACTCATTACTTATAAATTTCATACTCATTGATAGTGAAGAATGCTCAGCAGTGCTGTTGATTTCAGGTTAACCATTCAATATGTCAGCAGCTGTGCAATGCCAGGGAATCAGTGTAGCTTGTTCACTGGGATCATAAAGATCCCAGCATCGGGTTGGTCATGGAAGCTTATTTTCCCATAATCACAACAAGCCATAGCATGAATTCTTATCTCAGGAAGGTCTCTATTTCATCTCTTCTGTTAATATATAATGCTTGAAAAGCTGTTGATCTATTTACATCCACTGGCCCACATTAAATGACCAAAATCTCTCATATGAGTCCTAGCACAGGAGCAGGAGGGAGTAGAAATAAGTTTCCTAAGTCCTTGCAAGAGCTGAAATTTTAAAGAGGTCCCAGAGGTACAAAGAAAAAGGTTCAAACTATGAAGAGGAAACCCAGATGTCTATCCTTGACTATTTGGACTTGAGTGGACAGAGAACGTGACCTCAAATCTAGTGATGGGAAGCAAGATACACTGACCAGGTGCTTAAAAGACTTCATTGACAAAAAAACCCACCAACATACTCCATTAACCTCATGTGTCTGTATCAACCTTCAGTGCTTCAGAGGAAGCAGGGAGGGAAATGAGAAGAAAATAATCCCACCACTACCAATGAAAACAAACAAACAAACATACAAACCTTTCAGAAGCCAAGGAAGGGAAATTCCTTCCCCAGTCCTACAGGTAAATAGCAATTCTGAAGCAGGGCATTAATACAGCAAGCACAAGTGTAATGTAAACAGATACTCAAGTAGTCTCACTTTTTAAAAAAAAAAGGAAAGAAAGAAGGGGAGAAAAAAAAAAAAAGAAAGGAGGGGGAGAGTTACTATTCAAAGTACTACTCAAAAAGAGTAAAAGTCTGGAAGAGCACGGCCCATGGCTGGCATCTCAGTATTTCTTTTCCATCATTTAGACCAATTTGACGAAAATCCCTGTAAAGAAGCTTTCATAAGATGGCATTTTTGTGATTCAGTATAGCACCAATATTCCTTTTGAGTTTTATAACTGTTCCTAGAACATTCTTGGCAATGAATTTGAACTTTTTGAAAGAGGTTGCATTTCACTGTAAATGGTTATCTGGTATTCACAACACAAAATAAGCATTTGAATATTTATTGTGAGCACATTGCATTTTAGGGAGAACACACAAAGATTCTTACCACAATTATCTTGTTCCAGCTTTAATATATTAGCTGTCACCTCTTTAATGGATCTTGTGAGAAAGGAAAGTTTCTTTCTTTAACTCTCTTTTCCCCCTGAACGCAATTACCACCTCATTCACGGCTCTTTGTGTCCACCTAATCTCTCTGATTATGTCTCTGACACCACCACAATACTACATGACTGACATACCTGACAGCTGTGACTAGTGACAGAATACTCACAATGAAAACCAGCTCTATGCAGGATGAGTATTACCTACCGCCAGCCTCATAGAACAAACATGGAAGGAAGGTAAAAAAGGGGTGGGGGCATTTCACGACTAGCCTAACCCCTACCGATTTTTCCTCCTTTTAGAGCCAAACAGCATTGACAAGCAGAGCCTCTTTGTACATACCTACCTAATGAACCAATTGTTGGATGAATACAAAAGAACACCCATTAGTATTTTAATTTTGAATTTATAGGGTAGAAAAATGCATGTTTGGAGACCTGACTTACAAGTAGGACTTGATGGATCATTTTGTCTCTCTCCAGCCCTTTTATGCTTCTCCGGGTCAAAACTCCCAGCTGGTGCTCAACTGTCAGATTTAGGCAGGTGGCAATAGATGAGAACCTGTGAGGAAAGCTATACCTGAAAATCTCATTCCCAGACAATGACCTGCCACTGGAATCAAGCACAAACTATTTCAGAATTCAGTATTTTGAGCCATAGACATGAAGTAGTATTGCAAGTAATTAGCTACAACAGTAGTAATGAATACACTAATCAGGAAAAATATTAAAGTGCTTTACAGAGCATCTTATGCTTTAAAAAATACATTTTTTTTATTTCAGGTTTACGTTAAAAGCTTCATCTTGTCATGACTTCCCCCCCCGCCGCCAATTAAAAAAAGGATGAAAATTTGGGGAATAGGGATGAAACAGATTTTTCTAAATATACTGAATATTCAGAACAAACAATTTAGTTGCATCTTTCTGAGCTCTTGAGCAGCTTTGGAAATTATGCATTCCCAGAATCAGAGAGAAGGGGCAGAATCTTACATATTCAAATTGGAACGTCTAGAGGCAAAATGTGCCAACTCAAGCATCCAGTTTTCAGAAAGGATCAGGTAATATATACAGAAAATTAATCTAAGTGCTTTATATTGATCTGATTTTATATCAAAAAACTCTCATGGAAGATATTCCTCAGATAATCATACAACAAAAATAAAACACACAAGTTTGAAGGATATGCTTAGGAAAGCTTGGTAATCAAATAGTATGTTATTGACAGCTGAATTGTTCATTTTCTATCTTAACTTTCTTATGCTGTTAGGTATTCATGCTGTTACTATGGATTCAGCACATTACATTAAGTTTGAAAAGGTTTAAGGAGCAGTTTAAATAAATTAATAAATCATTTAATGAAAAGTGAACTAATGCAGTAAAGAAAAACATCTATTGCAAAGAATGCATACCGTAAAGAAAAACATTCAAGTTAATAAGCACTTTGAGAAATAGCTCTTCTACTGTTAAAATTAACTCATATTTTCAAATGGGAAGCTAGAATCAATATTTTACTTAACTGGTAAACTTGGTGAGAAAATTGGTATAATGCAAACATTGACACTAAAAAAATAAAGTTATCTTACTGAATATGAGGCACCACTGCAAGCAGAAGGATTCTTCACACAAGTATTTCACATCTGTTTTACTGATTTTAAGACAGGCATGCTCTTCATCTATTCTATACAATGAAAGCAGTAAGGTGTGAACTTCTATTATCTAGATTGGAAAGGAAAAAAGTTAGAACAAGATAGCTGTAAATAAAAGTCAGGATATTCAATTACAGCCCCAGGGACAACTTGATCTTATGTCGAACATCCACCGTGTCATTAGCTTCCAAGGACTTTTGTTCCCATAATGCCTTTTCTCATTTCCAAAGATGCTACAATACAGAAACCTAACAAACTTCACATACATAAAATATACTACCTACTAACCTTGTAGTCAACTCTGATAGCACCGCAGCCCCCCAACTCCTCTGTAAATCACAGGAGCAAGAATATACCAGCATTTCACCTAGGAGGTGTTCCAACCACAGAAATACCCGAAGTCTTTAATACTCTACTTCAAAAAGCCACCACTACCCTCAATAACTCACTTTATACACCAAAAAATCCTCACAAAATTTTCTTTACCCTTTTAAGCTTTCACACAATCAAAATAATTTTGCAGACAGCCAGGCCTTGATATGCACCTTTACTAGGTTTCCTGAACACTAATTAGTTTCAGATGCCAGGGCAACAATCTCCAAAACAGATCGAAGCACGTGTACGGAATGTATTATAACTCCATTTGTAGTCAATGATGTGAAAACTTTACAAAGCTGTTGAATAATTATGATTACTAATATCCCAATTAGGTTGAGCAGGTACAAAGACATTCTCAGTGTTAGACACTTGATGAATATTTTAAAATCATTTATTTCTGAATTTTCTCTCTAATCTTAAAACCAACAAGTAAGATTACTATAATTACAGAGACATAGTTTGGGATTTGTCTGGGGGTGTTTTGAGTTTGCCTGCTTGGGATATTTGAGCCAGTCTTCCAGTTTGAGACAAAGAACTGCATCCAACAACAGGAGAAAGCTGAAAAAAGTTTCAAAACTGACAATGACCAAAATGAGAGAAGAATTATGCCCAAAGCTAACTGTGATTCTTTTATCTAAAGTATCAAAAATAGTTTAGATTCCTAATAAAATCTGCAGTCTTTGAGAACAGGTTAGAATTATTCTGTTTTTCTGTATCCCTAAAAGGGACAGAGACAGAGATCAGCCTCCTTCATAGTAAATGCTGGACAACCCAAAGCAAGATTTTCTTGACTAAAAAAGTTTACCACATAGATGAAAGCAACTATGGGGAAAGAGGAAAGGAAGTAATCTCATTTTATGGACTAGGAATAGAAGCAGATTGACTTCCTCAAGACTTTTAAAATCCCACTGATGTTTTCACTTAGCAAGTAAAAATGCATTGGCTGAGCTCCAGCTTTTGCACTTTCATTACTGGGGAAAAACATCTACAACTGATGTGTCAGCTACCAGACTTGGGCTTCCACTGAAGTATTCCTCTCTTCCTCACCTTCTCTGTCTCACCAAAAAGAGCCAAATAAAACTGAAAAAAAACCCAACACACACATAAATCTTTCAGTTTGCATTGCACACACTAGAGCATATGTTCCTTTCCCTAATTTGCTTTACTCCTATATGACAAGGTCCATGTCTAAAGATGGTAATTATTGCCAGTATGTCCAATGGCTGTTGTAACCAAACCAAAATAGTGCAGAGTACTTAAACTGGGAGGGTGGGGGAGGAAAATCATGCACAATTTATTCTTCAGCAGGTAGGTTAATTACACATCATGCAGTACTAATCAAAACTTCTGTTAAACATTCATGAAAGAAGAGCTGCAGGAGTAGGGCAGCTAAAATATTTGAAGATTACCTATCCTTCTTATATCACTTGGAATCATTTTGATTTGTCTTATGAATACAAGCATAGCAATATAATTCAAACAGCCAAAACAACTGCTGGCACAAGTGCTCTAGGGATGTTCCCCAGCACAGTCTCATCGTGGAGATACCAGCCTGCAACTTCCTTTCCCCACTGCAAAGGAAGTCATTGTTATTAGAAATTAATCAAGCAAAATGAGCTGTAAAGAGATGCCAGAATATTTAGCATCACCTGCAAAACAGGATTCCCTTGGATAAGGAGGGCAGGTCATTTGCTTATAATCGTTCTTCAAAATGTCTTTTACCCATAAATATATTTACACATTTATGTGCACAGTTCAGCAGAGAGTATCCACAGCAGTACATTCTACACCCCTTTCCTTCCTTATGTCCAATCCAGGCAGTAACACAGGGAAGAATGCAGAACCATTCCTCCCAGTTGTTCTCATCTCCAGAATTCAAGAAAAGCCCGTAACAGAAGTGTGAACAGAGTCCCAGACAGCAGGCCTACCACAGCAACACCACACAAAGACAATTCTGAATTTAGACCAAATAAACAATTATCCAAAGTTGGAGTTCCTTATTGCAATTCAAAGGCACACTTTTACAAAGATCACTACTTAGTGGGAAATTCTGTGTGACAATACTGACAGCTGTTTCAGCTCCTTAGGCACAGACAGAAACAAGGAATCTTTTTAAAGAGGCTTGTTTTATTAATAGAGAAGGAACAGAGGGTGGTCCGGCATCTAAGTCATGACAGTTTAATTCTAAATTTAGAGGCAAATAATCTGGAATAAACTGAAAATCAAAATCATTCTGACAAAAATTTGGGATGTGTTCCAAGAGGTTTTTTTATCTTTACAGAAACCAGTGTTATGAAGATTCTTACCAGAGGAGGGACTGTCACCTAACCTTGTGGAAACAACTACTAAAACCACCTCAACTGATAGTAAAATGTACAAAATCACACAGCTCTTATTAACATAGTGATCGTTCCTCCTCAGTGATCCAGGTTCCTTATTAACAGACAGTCATCTAAGGACAATTTCTACTGAGAAATCAAGGTTGTTGAAAAGAAAGGTAAACTGGTTCAGAAAAGACTACCAGCAAGTTGAGTGTGTGAGAGTAAACTGCAGGTGGCAAGTCTTTTGATGTCTAGGTTAATTTCTTTCAGTAAATCTTCCCTTCCTGGTTTCCAGACTGCTGAGAAAAAATGTTTTATGACAAAACAGCAACTTTAGTATACCTCAATATAATACTGATGGCATGCATCACAGGCAATGCACTGAGTACTTGAGGGTTTTCCTCCCATTTTCTTGAAATGTCAGTTTAAAACTGCAGTTAAACAATCTCACATTGAAAGGAATTTCACTCACGGTTCTACCAACCTGAAGAAAAAAGGAATTTCACTCACGGTTCTACCAACCTGAAAAAAGGAATAATGTACATATGCTATGACAGAACTATGCTCTCAAAAGGTACATTGCTAGCTTAAGGCAACTTCAGACATACAGCTCCATGCTACAGAAATAAAATAGCAGGCTAAACCAAAGCGTACAAAGGACATGGTAACAGTGGGTAAGCTGATTGTGGAACTGTTGTTCATTGAATCCTACAATATGGGAATCTGCTGAGTACTTACCAAAATTAGAAAGCAGCAAGTTCAGCACACCAAAAAGAACCCCCAAAACCTTTTGTTAAAAGAGCAAACAGTGAACTTCTAGAGCTTTCCACATGAAGATGTGCAAAGGTGTAAAAGGGTTCAGACAGGTGAATAGATACATTCAAAAACAGGTCCATATGTGCAAAAAAAAAGGGATAGATGGGAATCTACCTCCCATCCCTAATCAAATGACTGCAGATGCTGAGAAAATGCAAGAGAAGTGAACCAAAGGCAGCAGCCAAGCTTATGTCATCTTTCAAAGCAACATCTTTTCACCGCGCCTAGAGACAAAATACTGGGTTAGACGAATCGTTCTGGAGAGCTGAACACATTACTGCTCATGTTTAATTTACACTGTTTTCACATTGTTAGAGTTAAAACAATGCTCATGCCTCCCACTGAACTGTGTGAGAAGTTAGGGGCTTACTCTCAGATCTTCGATCTTCTGGTCCCAGATTTAACAGACGGAGACATGTTATTAACAAATTGGCTTCTGTACTGCAATCCCTTCTCCTGCTCCCCAAAGCTCCCCCCAGCAAATTAGCATTGCCTAAGGGTAGGCAGCTTGATCCCATACCTACAGCAAGGAATTCTCTAACCAAAGACAGAAATGAGGTAGAATCAACTGTTAACAGATTTTATTTCTGTATTTACAATGCTTAAAATAAAATAGATCAGCATCCAGCTACTCCGTAAATGCAAAAATAGAAAACTTCCCTTTTCAACAAATGTGCGGAAACATAAATTAGAACATGATAACTTTAAAACATACAATGTTATTTCTCAGTGGTTTTACTATGAAAACAAGCACCGTAATTTATCTTACAAAAGATGTTCCATCAAAGCAGCATCACAGGGCAAAACAAGTAGGACATTAATATGGAAATGTAGTAGCAAATCTTTGAATATTTTAAATGGCATAAACTGGTCTAAACTATTATAAAGTTAGAAAACTGTTCTATCTTTTGCAATAGCTTTACCACATAGCCGAATATTAAGTGAGCCATATTTGGCTGTTGACACAACGAAGACACCTTCAAACTTTCCTTCTGCCTTTGGCTTGAACTGGACTGGCACATTGATGTAATGATGGGATCTGTAAAAAGGTAATTATGTGCATATTCTATGTTAATAAACAAGTAAATCCTACTCAATAGAGAAATTCTTGTCTAGCTCTGATTTTCACCAAAATAGTACATTGAATGTGCACTGGATCATCAAGTTTATTTTTATAAACTTATTATCCCTTATC